AGAGAGAGAGAGAGAGAGAGAGAGAGAAGGGGGGGGACTGTGCCAAGCTGTCCATTATGTGACTCTGACACGTGCTACTTTGATTCTTCTTTGCCTTTTGCCTTCCTGGAAATGTTCCAAGATGCACGCCCGGCATTATGGCTCTCATGTCAATGCTACTCCCGACAAGTCTCCCATCCGAAGAGGGAGTGCCAAGCAGATAGAATTCTGATTGTTTCATTCTTAAAGTTGGGGGTGCGTTGACTTATTGGGGGTATCTGCACAAGTCGTGGTTACGAAGCGTACAGGAAGGTATACGGATTGAAAGGAGAGGCCCTTGCTTTCTTGTGGAACGTTGCACACGTAAATAGATTGTGCGGTGGGTGTTATGGGTTTTCCTAGGGTTTTCGTAGGACTTGGGTGATGAATCGTCGGAGGGTAGATCTTTTTTTAATATTTTGTTTGTTTTTTTCGTAAGTAGGATTTTGTAGGACTTCCGTAGGGCGGCGATGACGAATCGTCGGAGGAGAGCAGACAATCAGGTGATCGCCCTCGGCGGATGTTACGTCCCACACCCATTTCGTTTACCCGAATGCGAATGCGTGACTTTTTCTTTTTCTTTTTTTAGCTGAATCGAGGCTATGGGTTTTCCTGTATCGGTGTGAGTCAGGGGAGTCGCTTTGTCGTTCGTTTTTTCTTGCCGGCCTGCGTGTTCGACTTTTGGTGTCACAAGCGTGTTTCTCATCATCGGCTTTGTCTTCTTCCGGTATCTTCAAGTCCCAAAAACCGTTGCTGCTTATCCTGTCAATCATACAAGCCCACATTACGTATAGCAATCGACCTGTTTTTCTTTTTTTTTTTCTAATTAATTAATATGTACTACTCTGCTTCGGTCATCATGATGGTAAGGGTAGCCATCGTCATCATCACGGTTGTAATACAATCTGAATACAAACACTTACATGTTGCAGTTTCTGTACCTCGCGATAATGATGACGGGAATGGTCGTAGTCACCCCGATGATGAGGTCGATGAGGGTATGCACCATGCGTATCAATCAGCATCTGTTCATTTCATGATCATGATCACGGCTAAGATGATCACATCATCAGAGTCGTTATGATCATTATCACGGTCATCGTAACAGAGTCTGAACAGAGGAGCAAATATGGTTGTAAAACCTCTTGCCCTTGCTTATATGTCCAAAACAAAAAAGAAGGGGAAAAACAACAAAAAAACAACAACCCTTCTGCAATCGAACTGTTGCCCAATGTCAACGTCATCAATTCACGTTCAGCTTTTCATCTCTCTCTCTCTCTCTCTCTCTCTCTCTCTCTCTCTCTCTCTCTCTCTTTCTCTCTCTCTCTCTCTCTCTCTCTTTCTCTCTCTCTCTCTCTCACATCATAACCTTCTCGGAGTGTCTTGTGAGCATGATCATTATCACGGTCGTCGTAACAGAGTCTG